GAGGAGGGGGTGTCGAGGCGTGTTTCCCACCCTCAGAAACTACCCAGGCCTGAAAAAATGCAGCCCGGCCCTTAACTGTGAGAATACCTCGCTCTGTTGCAGATGCGAGCTCGTAGCTGGGAGGCTGAGTTTCTTAACAAACGGAATTTCCATATTCTTTCTTACAAGCGTGCCTGCAGCCTTTGCTGTCTGGCGGTGTTAGAATGTAAAAGTATTGATCTGTCTTTCTTCTGTTTCTTCTTTTTTTGTTTTTTTTTGGTTTTTTTAGTAAAGCAGAATTGGCTCTCATAATCTTTCAAATCCTGGTGCTGTTTCAGCATCTACTAAATTCTCCTAACTTAAAAAAGAAAAAGTACAGAAGCACTTGAAGGAAATCTGTCCTGGAAGGACAGGTTATTTGTTGAAAAATGAAAAGACTTTACCTAATTTTTAGGGATAGAGAAAATCTTGTGCCTTTTTCATTTTCTTGGAGAAAAGGAGCACAAGCTTTACAGGACATGGCATGATGATATTCACACGCATACGCTAAGCCTTTTTTGAGAGGAATTTTCTGTCTGAAATCTTAATATTTCAGTTGCTGAAAATTCATTTGATAATGATGTTGCCCTCTTATTTCCTAGAAAAGTATGAATTAATGCAATAATGCTGTAAATGTAAAAAAAAGTAGATCCACCTCTTAAAACTGCACTATTTGGCTTTATGATGAGGAGAGCTTAAAAAGTGTATTAACTTTTTCTTCCTTTTAAATTCTGGTTTCAAGTGTTGTAGTAATAATTCTAATACTAAAAAACATTGCCTCCCTGGTCTTTTTTAAGTGTTGAACTGAACTTTAGCACTTGTGCAACAGTTGCCGTTTGAAAAACATCATAAAATCACTTGGCCTGATGATAAAATGTGGCCCAACTTTCTACCTAAAGTAGGAATGAATTGTAACTGATTGAACGTGCTTGGCAGATTATCTGTAGAACAAGACAGGCTACACTGAGAGCAGAGTGCTCTCCCCAGCTTGTTGGATAAAAATAAAGCTTTGTGTGTTCTGAGTTACCGTACAATTTTTCCTTATCTTGGACTTCAGATAATTACGCTATCAGATTTGGAATGTGACTACATTAATGCTAGATCATGCTGCTCAAAACTCAATAAAGTAAATTATTCTTCTTTCCATTTGGTGTGATTTAAGAAAACAATCCCTCGTCTTAGCATCACAAATAACAGGACTTGATTAGCAATATTTTGCATGTATCCTTTATTTCAGTCTGTTTGTCTTTTTTGGATGTGTGCCACATCAAGGATGTCTAGTCGTGACTGAACTCTGGGATCTTTATAGCAACTGTCTCTGATCCTTTTGTATAATTTCTAACCTCTCCTGAACAGTAGAGAGTTTTAAAGTGATTAGGAAAAGTGCCAATGTACCGTTTTAACCAAATCTGCTTAAAACTGATTTCATTAAATCAATGTGTCCTTCCCCTGTGAGTGTTCACTTTGCTTTAAAGCTATTTTCTTTCTTAATGTGAAAGAGAATGCTATAGGATACTATCAAGACAAAAATGTGTTGTTGCCAGGGGCTGACCCGATTTAACTATGCCAGTTTTCATATTGATCAACTTTCTTATCTGTTCCAAGCCCGAGGGTGTTTGTATGTCCTGTGTCTGTGCAGATGTTAATTGTCTGCTTCTCTCATTCCTAAATTCAGTGTTCTCTGCAGTGATTTCAAATTTACTTTCTTAATTTGCTTTCTTCACTGTGTGTGTAATATAGTTGTGTTCAAACACAACTTCTCTCTAGAAACTTTTGTAATACTTGGATGAAGTACTTCTGTTATAATATCTTAGGGCTCGATTTCTGGCTTGTGTGCAGTCTGTCTGAAGGTATTAATTTCCCCATATTGTGATGAAATCACATGAATTTTCTTCTTCCATGAATTTTCTGTCTGAGTTTGATGTTATTAGAATCAGATGATAACTCCATATAGATCTCCTTTTCAGAAAGGAATTTATATTTGTGCGTGTAACTTTTTTCTTTTCTTCCCTTTTTACAGTGGGTGGTCCCTGAGGTGATTGGCCATGCTGTTGTAACTGTATTAATGCTTATTTCATTGCACTGGTTCATCTTTCTCCTTAATTTGCCAGTCGCAACATGGAATATATATAGGTAGGTGCAAAGGGTTTTGTGTGCTTTTTTTTTTTACCCATTGTTACTAGTTTAGCTTTAATTGTAGTATGCAGATAAATAGTATGTCATGATGAGATGTTTCAGTTGTGGTTTTGAGCTGCTAGCAATCTTCATGGATCTACCTAACATAAAACTCTCCTCTCTTTGCAGTTAAAATGATAAGAATCCCAACAGCGTAAAGGAAATGAAGCTTTTGGCCTTTCCTTGCATTCACTCTGGTGCCCCAGAATCTTGATTTGAGAATCATTCCCAAGTTTGTAGGAAATAATAGCATGTTAATTATGAAGTAGTACTGCAAACATAGTTGCTAATGTTTTTCATGCTGCGTCTACATGCCTGATAGTGATATCAGCTTAAAAGTACTTAGGTCAGCATGGCTGATGGTTGTAAAACCATTGGGCTGTGGTCTTATCCCCTTCATCCCCCTTTGTTACTGCCTTCTCTCGCTTGTTTGCATTGTTTTTGGACCCCCCTCCTCTCTTGCTTCTTTGTATTTGGAAAGCTTTGCAGACTTCTCATCTTAGGACAACTGTCACTGTTACTGGTCTCTGTATACTGGGCTGTCCACCACTTTGAAATGGTTTACTTATCAGTAGAGGTCTCCGTGTGGCAACATCGACACTGTTGGTTCAAAACTGTTCTTTTTATTTTGTACCATTTGATGAGCAGAGAATTGAACCTTTACAGGTGTTATGCTAATGAAAACTGGGTGTGGATTGGTCATGAATTATCTCTAATCACTGTACTACAGGAAGTCCAAAAGTGTAAGATATGGGTATGAAAAGTTGCCTGTAGTTTTTTTTGGCCTAAGCCTTCTAGGGCTAACTATTTGCTTAATCTTGATGACTAAATGATACCGTTACAGGCAGTTCTGGCTTAATTACTAATTATCTCAGTGATTTCAGTGCAAATAAAGAGGTTTTGTGTGAAAGGGGCATCAGGAACAAATCCTGGGGAGGATAAATTGGACAAAAACAGCCTCAGGGGAGACTTTTAGATTTACAGTGTGTTTGTTGTAACATCCTACTGGCCCTTCTTGTTCAGCATACTCAGATGCTCATTTAATTTGGTTTATTTTGTAGTGTCTTATGCAATCTCCGGTGAGACATAGTTTTGTCTTACATTCTCCCTGTTTTAAAACTATATATTGAAGCAGCTTTTTTGAAATCTAATCATATTTCAAAATAGATATTTTTTTTAGTCCTTAAATATTTATTTTACCTGCTACTATGTAAAAGAAGCAAGAATTAGAAAGGGAATGCTGAATGTGACAGGAAAAAGAAAGCAAATTTTAGTGTGTTGTTCCACTTTTTTTTTTTTTCCCTTTGGTGTGCAGACCTGCTTGAGACAATACCTCAAAATAATCTGATTCTTGTCTATAAGTAGATCATACCCCTCTTAAAACTGAAGGAGGTAAAAAAAAAAAAAAAGTAAAACCCAAAAATCTTTAAAATACAGTTAAAATTCTGATCAGGACTTCCACCCCTTACAAAATTGTGTAATCGAGAGGGAAATGTCCTGTTGCTGTGGCAGCAGCTTCCACTGAATGGAGATACTGGAGGCACTAATGTCTATATGCATTAAAGCTGACAGTTTTCTTGTTCTTTGTGGTTTTACTGCAGAGGTTTTTTGCTGTTTAGAGTATGCCAACTGGCTTGAGTTGTGTTTGTCAGCATCTAGCATCCTTGTGTCCATGAATACAGTTCCTTAGATGTATAACAAAAACTGTACTAGCTTGTGAGCCTCTTGGAAAAACTACTTCCCAAGTTCCACAAGCTATAAATAAGTAGCATTATCTAAGTGTTATCACTCTTCTTAAAAAGCAAAATTAATAAATCCTAGAGATACAAGGAAACTGTGTACTCTATTTCTAGGGTAAATTGGTACAGGAAACTTGTGTTCTTCCTTGTAATGCATTTTATAGGAATAATTTTCCAGTAAATGAACAATTTGTGTTATAATACTAATAGACAAACCACTTAAAACTTCAAATTTAGAAGAGACTTTCAAACTGTAATTATTTCACATTAATGATTTTTAATGGGACATAATTGTTATTAGTGAAATATGCTGCAGTGCTTTTTAATGACTCTCTGAAAGAAAGACAAATACTGTGGTCTTAAATTTTTTTTTTTTTTGGTCTCCTACTGCTGCTAGAAAACAGCCTTGTTTCTTGTTCCCTTTCTTCCCCTCCTGTATTGAAATGAGTGTTTTAAGAGGTGGGGGGAGTGCCTTTTAGAGTAAAAGTGGTGTCATTCTTCAAGTATAGAAAGAAAATAAAAAAGTGTTCTGTTTTGAGGCTTTGCTTTTGCTCCAGCTGTAAGACCAGGAGTTAAAATCCTGTGTAGAAAGAGTATTATTCCAGCAAGACAGAGCGTGTATGACATTTAATTGAAATAATAACACTATTTGAGACTGAGCTCAATGGGAGTGAGAACTTCTTGTGCTTGCATTTGCTCTCTTGAGAAATGCTTATGACAAAAGAACATGCTGCTTGTTGTCCTGTTCAAGCAACATTCATAAACATTTGTTTTGCTGTTTTTGTTCTTTCTTTTGCTTACATTTCACTTTGTTTCACTCAATTTTTGTTCTTATGTGGGTTTGGACAGTAGTGCTTAACTTCTTCAGTTCTGCCCAGTCTCTCATCCTGTCAGCCTTGGTGTCTCTGCTGAGAGAACACAGGATGGTTTTGACAAAGATGGGACTAATACACACATCTTTTGTCTTATGCTATCTCATTTTGACTGCTGGAGTTTGTGATCATCTATGTGGGGTTTTTTGTAAATAAGTCTCTTAATTCTTAGCTAAATTAATTCTTTTCCAGTCCCTTTTATCTAACGCATCTTTCCACTGTGGGAGGACGGTTCCTTCATAACACCAAGTAACCACAAACGGCAATTAAGGTGAACTGGAATTGGCCATTACCTGGAAACTCTCCCATTTATACATGAGAAGCTGGGGCCATGCTTTTAGTACTTGTCCTCTTATTCTTTGTTTGTAGGTTGTAGTGGTGGAGATACGTGCACTATCCTGAAATGGAAATAGAATTAAAGAAAAGCACCCTTATGTTGAATTGTGAAACAGCTCTTTTAGATGAAAGTCCCTTCTGTGCAAGCTCTCCCCTTCCCCTGACACTCCCTCGTGTTTTGATGACTATACTTTTGGTTTTTTTCCTCTTAAACTTTCAGGTACATTATGGTGCCAAGTGGAAACATGGGGGTATTTGATCCCACAGAGATCCATAATCGAGGACAACTGAAATCGCACATGAAGGAAGCCATGATTAAACTAGGTTTTCATCTGCTCTGTTTCTTCATGTACCTTTACAGGTTAGTTTCAAAAATTGCTCCCCAGGAACAAAGGAATTGTCTGACAGCTATTTTTATCTCTTCTATTCTGCTAGAGTAATTGCTGGTATTCATGTCTTATCTTTTGGCATCCTGCTAAGCCTCAATAATATATTTTGACAGCTATCGCCAAGCTCATTATATGCCTTTATTCTTTCTTATTGTTTGGAAACCCAAACTACTCCTTAATCTCAAACCCACTGTCAAGTACAATATGAAAAGTTACATGATTTCAGCACCTAGAACAAGTGGCCTATTTAGCATGGAAAAAACCTTAAGGACCAAGTTTATTTTACAAATTCTGCTTTAGAAAATAAAGTTGAGCTGGCTAAGTCACAAACAGATAAGTTCTGTGATGGGGCCGCTTACTATACGATGGAAGAACCACTGTTCTTCTACTGCAGTATTACTTCTGCAGTCCTTGTCTTCATAAGCACAGCACAGAGCATAGGTGCCTTGACTTTCCGTTTCAGAATCAAGTACAGTTCTCTCATGAAAGTGATAACGGTTCCTGCTTGCACATGCTTCAGTAATCCATTGGTCTGATGTTTTCTGTTTTGTCACAGTATGATTCTGGCTTTGATAAATGATTGAGAAGTTCAAAAAGAACCGTTGACTGCCAAATTGGGTCATCACTCCAGTGACTGTGGAGCCACAGACACCTTCCAAACATACCTAGATCAGTGTCGTCATGCAGTATATTTTTCCTCTTCGAACAATAAATATTTTTCTGTATTTTTAACATAAAATATTTTCAAAAGACATTGGATTTGTGTAGCAGTTGTCTTTATTCCTTTAAAACCCGAACTGCTGGAGCTGCTGCTTCTGTAAGGTACAATCTTGCTTGCAGAACCAATTGCATAGGAATTAAATGGCAAGAAGGGAAACTCATTTCAGCAGCATGGGCCCATAATAGTGGTAATTCCAGAACAAATTTAAGTACAGCTCGGATGTCTGCTTCTTACAGAAAGGTGTCAGGATGTGCCTGCTGCCTGTCAAGCTGTCTTATTAGAGCCGAGTTTGAAGCAGTACTTGAGCACAAATTTCAAACTGGAACAGTAGCACAGCTTGCATCTTTGTGTCAGTTTCTTCTCCAGCTAAAAAGCAAGAGAATAAAACTTCTGCTTTTCTCCCTTTCCACCCCTCCCTCCAACAACCTCTATGCAGTCTTGTGTTTGGATGGATTAAGGTCCCTTTGGGCAAAGTGACACGTGTGTAAGAGAGAAAAACAGATAAATAAGAACCATGATTAATAGTTGTTTTTCCCCTTCAGCTTCTTTTTTTTCATTGAAATAAATCATAGAACTGCATACAAAGTAAACATCATACTGCACCAGCACTGGAGTTGGTTACAGAGCAAAAGCCTAGCTGCAGGCACTGCTCCATGAACCCCCTCCCTATCCAGTGAGGTGAACCAAGAGTATGGTTTACCCGACCACCTCTCTGAGGTAGACATAACTCAGTTAACCCAATTCTGATGTGACTCTGCTTCAAAGACACCAAGTACCCGAGTGCAGCTCTTGCATCAGTGATAAGTCTATAAACCTGAGTTTGTACCCTCACTGTCCAATAACTGTTTTTGTTTTTTTTTTAATGTGCATAGGAGCAGGTTTTTTGGAAACAAACACATCAAGTGAAACACCTCAAACATGCAGTTTTGTAATTAAGTCCTAAAATTTCTGAGTTTTTCCTTTTCTTCAGTACCTGTTCTTTGGTGTATAGCTGTAGTCAGCAGGTTGTTTTCATGGCCAAAGACAACACTAAAGCTTGATTTCTCTAGATACCGTCTGTTTGATGTTCGTTCTAGAAGTACAAAGATGAAAAACTGCTGGAAATTACACTCATTAAGAAATAACTAGGGAAATAGCTACCACAGCTGTGTGCAAATGACTACTTGACACCACAAAAATCAAACTACTGCCTTATGAAGATGAAACCTAGACAGCATGTAGGTCTGGAAAAAGGAGAGCACATAAAACTTTAAAAGAGAGGAAAGTCAGTAACTTTTGTAGCAGCTTACATGGCAGGCGATCAAGTTATCTTATTTGTAAGTGGAAAAAAATACTACACTTATTTTGGGTTTTATCTATTAAAAGAAATGAAAGTGAGATGCTTAAGTCCTTGCTGTAGGGCCAACAAATTTCATTAATGGTGGGTGTTTCACACCGAGAAACATGATCATTAATCACCACTTAAACTAGCAGTTTTCTGTCTTATTCTAAAGGCATGATTTTGAGATAAGAGCTTTATTATTAATGAAAATGTTTGTAAAATACATTGTCTGCAATGATTTCTAACTACTAGCACCTCAGAATTACAGTGCTGACAATAGATAGGAATTGGTAAAATTTATCACTCATACGAAAAGCTTCTATTCTTCTCTACTGAGGGAAGTATTTCTTCAGAGATGTGAGGACAGGGAAGGACAAGGGAAAAGAACAACATATCTGAAAAAAAATAAATAGAAATGGGGGTAGCATGTGTCTTAATTTATATCCCTGACCTAGAAGAATGCTATCGTGGATTCCTCCTCACTTCCTTCCTCAAGAGTGAATTATTGTCCATGACAGACCAATAAAAAAAAAATACAGCTACATTTTCTAAGTTATGGTTGTCAAATATTAAAAAAATTATACTTTTATATGAATGCAAACTTCCCACATCACCTTGTTTATATAAATAAATTCTCTGTTCATTCATATCTAACAACATGTTATAATAGTTGTAAAAATCTCAGTAGCAGGCTCCAGAGACTACAATTCTGCTGAGTAATTACACTGGTAATTTTGAAGCTTTCCTTATTGTGCAGGGTCATTTCCTGCCTTAACAGAGGTCTTCACAGAGATTTTAACAGAGCTCAGTCAACAATAGGAAAAAAATATTTGTAATTGCTAAAAATGTAGTTCATTAGCTGGAAATAGGGACCCTACAGTCATGTCTCAGGGGAGATCCACAGAAATTTTACAGTAGTAAAAACCAAAAACTCTCTGCATTCTGGGTCTCCATCAAGGGAGAACAGGGTAATTTAAATCCAAGCTTACTATACATAATTCAAGACAATTACAATCCTCAGACTGATTTTAAATAAAAATTCACGTAACTTCATCACTGTGAATTAGTATGAGGCTAGAACACAGATTCCCTCCTATTCACGCACCACAATATACTTCCCTTTGGAACTAAGGTATCCAAGTATAACCTCATGAGGGGACCATTATCTTATCCTTCAAATGATTAGCTCTTAATCCATGAAAATAAATCAGAAATTGGCCTACAGGGATTCTAACTTTTAACCAAGGTTATTAAACTCTTTTCATCATCCACAGTCCAGAGCCTGGTGAGCTTGGTAAGGTATTAGTCATTCCACAGTTTTCAGAGAGATGAGAGAGCTGTTCTAGTACTGCACTTAGGAGGGGGGATTAGTTAAATCACATACAGTAACAAATTTCCCCCTAATTAATTATTACAGTTACAGACTAGTGATTATTTATCTTGCTTTATTAAAGCATATACTTATCTCATTCTAGTAAACTACTATTAAATTAAAAAACTGGATGCACTTCAGCAAAAGGCTCGTTTGGAAAAGCTACAGAAGGGGATGGCAAATGTAGACACAGCTTTTTATTTAACAGAACATTAGCTAGAGCTGAATTAAAATGCAGGACAAGGCTGAGGTTGTATTTTAAGGCACAGGGAAGAAGGACAAGAACGCAGGGTTAGTTGGAGAGAACAAAGGCAACAGCTGAGAAGTCACTTCAAGAGCTCTCATCCACAAAAACTGCTTAGGTCAACTTCAGATAGAAGTCTGGAGGTCCCTGATCTCCAGTTTAAGAGAAGTCTAAGCAGGAGATGTCAATACTTTAGGAGCACCTTCTTAATATGAAGTATCAAAAAAATCCCACAAAACCCACAGGTCACCTCAAGCAACTTGTGCCTGGTGTTTAAGCAAGCTCCAGCATTAAGGCTTTCATGGAGCTGCAAAGGAGCAGACATTCAACAAGTTAGATAAGCGCAGAACAGGACACAGGCAAGTCGACAGCTAAATGTACAGTGAGAACAAAAGCGTGGGGCCGATTAGAGCCAAACATCAAAAACGGGAAAGCCTGCACACAACACTGCGTGAATTCATCTTCAGCTAAACTGCCACAAATTAATTTTCCTAGGGAGGACGTGGAATACTACAAATATGGAAGAAATCTATAATTAATGATCAAGAAATTAACATCCAAGTCAGTAATATAAGTGAAGTTAGGGAAACTAAGAACTATTCATTCCAGTTATTTATTCTGTTTATTGACTTGAAAGAAAGGGAATACAAACATTTCTGTTAAGTGCTGTGCACCAACATGGAAAAAGTGTTGTTTTTTTTTAAAAAAATCCTAATAAAAACAAATCAGAAGTTAATGTAGTTCCAATTGAACAATTTTTAAAGATATGTTTAAAATACTACACATTTATAAAATAAAAAAGTTAAAATGGTGTTCTGTAAATAATTAGTAAAACAAGTGAAAATAAATACAAGACCCAAAGTTCTTATGTTTTTAATGTAATATAGCAAAGAAATTTTTAACTACTTAATATAATCCAAGGAGAGTAACAAAAATCCAGAAAGTTTAAGAATGCAATCCTTTGAAACATTTAATATCAGTCCATAGCAAATAGTCATTACATACCAAAAGCTCTAAGTGTTAACTAGTTCCACCACAACTCCATATAAATCTTGACAATTTAGAAATCTTGAGATCAACAATAAAGTTCTTTTCTTGATCTCTACAGCTTGGTTTGTAAGTACATACATGCTTTGAGGATCCATTTTGTCCCATATGTTTTCAAGGAGCCAATAACTTTTTCCATCTGTGCCTAAAAATGTTAATCTAGCACATATACCCTAACAATGAAAAAAATGTTTTAAAAAAAAGATGGGGCACAATGAATTTCAAATTTATAAAAATATACTGATATTAACCAAAAACCTTCCGGTCAAAGGACACTTCACATACACACGACTTAAAGTATGCAATAAAACATGACAAGTACCTAGAACATTTGGTTCTCTGTCTGTTCATGGAACACACACACACGCACATTCATACCAGATGGGAGGAACACTCTCACAAACATTTTATTGAATCCAGATTATCTGGATTAATAGACAGAAAACTTGTCTACAGTTTATTTCAACAACTAGAGGCAGCTACTGCAGCAGTAGTTCAACACTGCACACTTCAATTAAGTCCACCCTGTTTAAAAAAGTGTCAATGATTTTTATTTCTTTCTTTCTAAACATCGTTAAAAGTAGCAGTTTTCAAAATTAAGTATGGCAGCTGAAAATGGACTCAAGCCCATGCAGAAAAGACAGGAGGAGGTCAAAAGGAGGATTAGCCATTTGTGGGATGGGTGTTCCTCTTAATAGTTGTCTCAAAAAAAAAATTAGGATCAAGTGTATTTTGTAGTTAAAAATATGGACAAACTATTGAAAGTGCATTTTTCCTCCTCCTCCTTGAGTTACAGTAGTTTGTTGGTCAGTAAATCCTGGCTCTTATGTTCATTCCTCTTTCTCTACCTCCCTCCCCATTTGGGTGTACAACATCTTCCCTCAAACTACAGCTAATTGTAGAGTACCTGGCTTCCTTTTCCTGATTTGGGGGGGAGTATCGCTTAGCGGTGTAAAAGCGTACAACAGGACATAAACTCCCAAGAACATACTGAGTTGTTATTAAACATTACCTGTTGGAAGCCAAGTTGACAAGTAAGTTGAGCAAGA